CACATTGTATTGTACTTCTATCATTATACTGTTGTGTTTAGCATTTTCTAAATTGTTGTGGTCATCTAAAAATTATATTTTTTACGTGTGAAGTGAAAAACAAAAAAAAACATTTGTCTGAGAAAAAACATGACCCTGATGACGACATTGTGCTAATGTCGAAAGCACTCGGTACAAAATGAATATGCAACAACATGGTAATTTTCTTTCTTCCGTTGATAGGCATACTAATAATCCTATTAAAAAATAAGTAGACAAAACTTATATTAATTATTTAAGAAAGCATGTCTTATATATATATATATATATATATATATATATATATATATATATATATATATATACTAGCAGCATGGCCCGGCGTTGCCTGTGCTTGATTCAAAAAATCGTACGACTCATACAGCAATCGCTATCACTTGACTTAAAATATTTTGCCCCTTTCTTTTTTTAAAGGAGTGCCATTTGCCATGCTGATGTTGCTACATGTCTTACTTCTTGCCTATCTCATATTTTTTCTAAGCTCTATACTAAACATTAAATCTGTCACGAAAATAGAACTAAACAAAATGAACACAAAACGATCAGCTTTAAAAAAGCGAATGAGCCAATTGGAGTAAAGTGCCATGCAGATTTAATTTTTTCCCACTTGTGACGAATGCAGCTATAGATTTTTTAAAATGCAAGCATTCTAGTTAACATTCGTGTCAGTCAGCTGTTGGCTCTCACGTTGGCCAATAGAATCTTCCTGCCTATTCGTGGAAGCCAGCTATAGGCTCTCACTCTGGCCAGTAGAAATGGCCGCAAACTAAATGAAAACTGCCGTAGAAGTCTGAAAAAGTCGATTATTTCCACTATCGGTGAGAGTTGGGAAATGCAAGGTCAATCTTGGCCTTCTCGCTGACTTGGAGCATGTGCATGTAAATTTTAGTGCAAATCCGTCGAAAATTGCGGCCGTGCATTCGTTACACACACACACACACACACATATCCTGCCTTTTATAGACAGAGATATATATTATAAAGAAGTAATCATCCAAAAAATAATTAATCAGTAAAGTTAATGTAATTAATGGCGAAATAACTTCGCTAAGAGATCAATAAAATATTAACTTAGTAACAACTCTCTGAATGAAGGAGCAAATTTCTTCAAAAGTACTTGTAATCTAATCCATCTTATAATTTAAACATAAGGATCACGTCATTCAAAGAGTTGTCAGTAAGTTAATATTTAATCAAAAACAAAACTGCTCTCTATTAATCACCACAGAGATCCTTCCCTGCCCTCCATTAGAATGTCTGACGCTCAACTTCTCGAGAGCAACTCTCTGCGGCTGCTCGGTCTCACGTTGACGGCTGACCTGAGATGGAACAAATACATTGAATCAATTGCTTCGTCCACCGCAAGGAAAGTTGGCGCCCTGTGCCGCGCCAGGAAATATTTCTCCCCGGAATCGATCCTCCAGATCTACAAATCAACAATTCGCCCTTGCATGGAGTATTGCTCCCATATATGGTCTGGAGCCCCTTCTGTTTGCCTCAGGGGTTCTTGATAGGCTCCAGAGGCGGATATGCAATATAATTGGCCCTGTTCTGGCATCGTCCACAGTCACTTTCTCACAGACGCGCCGTCACCTCTCTCTCTGTCTGTTTTACAAATACTTTCATGGCAATTGCTTCGAGGAGCTGCATTCGCTGTTCCCAGACTTCATGAGTTCAAGCGCCCTACGAGGCTGGCATCCCGCTCGCACCCCTTCACTGTCGAAACTCCTAAATGTAGCCGTCTCTTCTACTCCAATAGCTTCATGTCTTGCACCTCTCGCCTGTGGATCTCCCTTCCCTATTCCAGTTTCCCTGAGAGCTATAATCTCTAACTATTCAAATGTAATGTCAATCGACATCTCCAGTTGCCTTGATCTATCCACTATCCTTCTCCTCATCCTTTCCTCTATCACTCCTATCTGATCTTACTCCAAATTTTCTGTAACTCCTTGCGTCCTAGTGGCTTCCCGCCTTGCTTGGGGTGAAACGCTTAAAAAAAATTGATCTGTTAGCGAAATGATTTCGCCATTAATTATATTAACTTTACTGATTAACTCTTTGGATGATTACTTCTTTATAATATTATATATACTACACGAATTAATATATATATATATATATATATATATATATATATATATATATATATATATATATATATAGTCAAACCGAGAGAGCCAGACAGGTTATTGGATTAGGCCCCACCTCCCCTGATTATATAGTTTTTTAACCGTTTTTTGCCCGTGTTTGTCTCTAAATCACCCCCTCCCTTTTAAGCAGTTTCGAATAAATTTCTCCTCCACCTTCCCAATTATTGTGTTGTTGTTGTTGTTGTTTTTTTGTTTTTTTAATGTTTGATCACGTGGTCTTGGTCTTTTGTTTATCGCCTATATGTATACAGTTTTCTTTACCTCTTTAGCCAGCTTTCCCTGACGATCCGCTTAAGTGAAACCTTGGTATGTTTGTCTGGCTCTCTAGGTTTGATTAGGTCTGCTCTACTTTTGTATTGAGCACTTTTTTAGTTAGTTGATTACTCGTATCGGGTTTTTTTTTCTTTGGCCTTTGAACCTGTATGCTGGATGATTATTTTCGACAGACGTCCATGTTCATAGCTCTTTCTTTTTTTAAAACCTTTTTTCCTTCGAAATTGATTTAATCATTAGCAAATCAAGAAACCGAAGGTTTTCCGAGACGAATGTAGTTACCTATATATATATATATATATATATATATATATATATATATATATATATTAGCATTAATACAGCATAATTGCATATAAAGATTTTTGTTTGTTTTTTTCTGTATATTTTTCTTCATACTGTCGTATCTATATCCATATATTTGCTTACATACTGTCTACTGGAAATACCAACCTACATTTACTTTATAACATGGAAGACTTCAAGCTTGTACGAAAATATAAGAATCTATTGATCTCCGCCTATTCCTGTAAGGAAAGGATTTATTAACGAACTGTTTAAAATTGTTCCAACGTGCCTGTCTAAAATTTTGAAATCATTTTTGGGAGGACTTCAAGCTTGTATGAAGATATAAGAACCTATTGATCGCTGCGTATTCCTATATCAACAGAAGGGATTTCTTGAACTGTTTATATGAGAAAATAGTTCAATCGAGCTTGTTTAATATTTTAATATTTTGAAATCATCTTCGAATACGTTTTCACAACATCGACCACGTGATGACGACGTGATCATATTTAAACGGAACGCTGATCTTATATAAAAATTTCAGTTATCTGTTTGGATTAGTTGTGCTCTTATGTCCATCGTCTTTTCATGTTGAATTTTATATGTTCTAA